ACGCAGGATGCAGTTTTGTAAGAGATGTCTGCCAGACTACACCAGACTGGTTCTCCTCATATGCTTAGATCATCCTTATGATCAGAATCCAATTCAGCAATATTTTCTTCTGAAATGGAAGAAGACACAGGCTTTCCTAGAGCAACCTCCTTCACTGCAAATGGAATGTGTGATCACTGGCTGTCATTCTCAGCACAATAATGAACAATTGAGGCTGTGGTTATCGTATCTTCTAATATCAAGCCCTTTCCTTTGTACGGGCAGCTGTATTGACAGAAGGAGGCCACCTGAAATATGGGAGTGCTTGGAAAAGGCTTGAGATTTGCATAAGTATGTAACATCCATTTAAAAAACAAAACAGCTTTAGGACAAAACAGCCTAAAAACAGATGGGAAGACTGTGTGTATGTGTGGTCTCATGGAGGAAAGCAGAAGGGGAAGGAAGCATGTATGCCAGGCCTGCAAATCCCTTAAATGAGTTTCAGATGCAACCACACCCTTCCCGGCTAGCCTACATCTCTGGAGATCTCTTGGGCTTCCTTCAAGTACAGGAAACAATTTCTCATCTACCTCGCCTAGGTAGGCAGGAAATTTTACCTTGCATGCCTCACCCCAGCAGGGTTTAAAGTCTAAGATTTCCCTGAAGCTCTTCTGGCTTCCAGAAAGTTTCATGATGCCTTGATCAAAGGAGAGGCAGACAAAGTTCCTTCCTTGGCTTCTGGCCTCTAAGAGCCTTGCAGAACAAGAAGAGGATCCCTTGCCATGTAAAGATACTGGAGCCTGAACACCAAGGCAGACCCGTTTAGCTGTACAGGCAGTCCCTGGGTTAAGAATGCCCAGTTTACGGATGACCCATAGTTAAGAACGGAGCCTATTGTAGCAAAATTTGAGTTAAGTACACAATGATTCGAGTTAAATACACAATGGTTCGAGTTCATTACACAATGGTTTGAGTTCATTACACAATACTGCATATATGGTTTTATACAATAATACTGTTCTGGCTTATACACAAATTTGACTTAAGGACAGACCTTGAGAATGGAACTTGTTCTTAAATTGTGGAACACCTGTAGTTGCATCTGAAACCCATGCCATCCTAATTCATTCTTTTATAATATGTGTAAGTAAAAAAGAGACTGGGTTCTTATACTAAAGCAACATTTGTATGTTCCTTTTTAATTCTCACAAAGTTCCCCTAGTTACTTCAGAAAGGAAGATTCCACAAAAACAGAAAATTGAAACTCAGATGCTTGTCTCTGTGAATGTCAAATGGTATAAAAATGCATACGTGTTGCCTGATTAGATCAGTCTCATACCCAGTTACTTTTAATCTCTTTTGGAAGAGGATTCTGTAATGGGTATAATACTACTGAAAAGTTGCTCTCCTTATTTTGACTTAATACATTTCTGTAAAAAATGTAAAGACAGATTCATTTAGTTATTCTGGACCTGAATGCCTTGAATTGGGCCTGGGAACAAACTGGATGCCAATTACACAATACTCCAGAAAAGTGATAATTGAGCAAGTATTTATTGCTGGGAATTCTAATTAGTGGACCATGTAGAAATTTAGATTGTATGTCCCAATTCAGATGCCTGATTTCTTAAATCTTTTCCTTTTGTCAAGTAAACATGTGGTTATGTGAGTCATGTCACACAAACTGTTATACACACATGCATATTGTATGTACAACTGATTTGTTGGTATATAAAACAGCTAAAACAGTACAAGAGAGATATTTTTATGAAATACTTTTCCTTTTTTTGCAAACATAAATAAGAAACAAATTGAAAGCCAGTACAGTCAGTATAAAAATGATGCTACCGTTTTGGTGGGGAGAAAAATAGAAAATCTAGTAATGTTTCACTGTGTCAGCACAATCTGCTTTCTCTAGGAAAGAGGGAATGTGGAAGACTAGCCAAGGCTGAACAAAGCATTTCTGACTACAGCAGCCACTTCGCAGCCAATTCCAATTTTAGGAGCACTTCTAAGTTGCGAACCTAATTCTTGGGTAGAAGCAAAACTCTATTCTACTCCTTATAATGCGGTTGGAGTTCTGTTTTTCGTTTCAGATTCTTTAATTGCACCGTGATTGATTTACTGTATAGTCATTTTGATAGCTGTACTTTAAATTGCCCAGAATCTTTCTGATTGCAGTGGGTGAAAATCCAGTTTTTTAAAAAAAAATCTGCCTGCACCTTTGTTGTTGGTCTGCTGGTTTCTGTGCTGTGCAGCAACATCTCTGCCTGAGTTGTTTGACTCCACTGCTGGGTTTGTAGTGGGCTCTCCAAGACTGATAGATCTTGGAGATTTTAGCTTGCCCTCATGTGATGTAGAATCTAAAGTGGCCCAGGAATTCATGGCTACAATGGCAACTATGGGTCTGACCCAGGTCCCTGAGGGTTTGAGACACATGGGTGGTCACACTTTAGACCTGGTTTTTGTCTCATGGAAGTTGTGACATGATCTGAGGATGGAGCCATTTTTCTTGTGATCCCAGGGAGCTTTCTAGTTTTCTGAGAGGCTCTGGAAAATGAAGTAACAGAAGAGAAGCCTGGAGCACCATTGGAGAAAGTAGTAAAGTGAATCTGACCAAGTATGTGTAAGAGCCTATATTAGGGACTACATATGATAAATAGAACAGCAAAGTATATATATTTTTCTGCTTTTCTTGGGGAAAAATAGCCAGCCATCGGGCCTTTTTAAGATAATCTGTTCTCTGCTAGGAGAGATGGACCACAAGAATATCTACAGGGCCATTGTGAAGAATATTCAATCACTTGGATTCTCTTGGAGTGTATTCTGACTGGGCAAGTACAGTTGAGGCAACTTTAGCACAGTTTTGCTCGGTTTTCTGGAAAGAGTTTCTGTGGAAATGGACAGGTTCCTTGGATCTATTAACCCTGCCACTGTTAGATTCATGCCCCACCTGTTTGGTTAAAGCCTCCAGAGAGATAATATAAGATTGGGTCCATGTGGTGCTGAACTCGTCCTAGAATAGTGGTTCCACATGTCTTCTCAAGAAACTATGCCCACTTCAAGAAAGTATCACTGGACAACAGTGTAGGACAACTTTTGCCCAATCTGCAGCCTCTTCTTTCTGAGGAAAGTTGTTGGAAAGATGATCAGGCTGCAGCTTCAGAGGCTGAGGAGGAAATGGATTATCTGGACCATTTTCAGTCAGGGTTTGGCCAAGGCATAGAGCAGAGATGGCATAGGTGTAGCTGAGACTGGGTTGGTGGCTCTCCTTGATCTCTCACCCACCTTTAATACCATCGGTCATGGTATCCTTCATCATCAACTTTAAGGATTGGGAGTGAGGAGCATGGTACTGATAGGGAGCTGAGATTGAGCCCAAAGTCCCTGATCTGTGGAGTGCCTCGGGATTTGATACTCTTGCCTCTCCTGATTAACATCTATATGGACCCTCTGGGTGCGGTCATCCATCAGTGTGGGTCAGGTGTAATCAGTGTGCTGATTATATAGCTGAATATCATGTGTATCTTGAGCTATGGACAACCAAGTCAAGGGCTTGTGTCAATGCCTGGAGGCTGTAGGGCTTTGGATAGAGGAGTACAGACGTAAGCCCTACCCTAGCAAAACCAAGTAGGTATTCATGTGGGTATGAACCTTCCAGTTCTGGGGACTTTCTATCTCTACTTCTAAATCATCCAGATGGAACTGATGCACAGTTTGACGGTCTTCCTGAACTTTCAGCTCTTGCTCAAAGAGTAGGTGGTAGTTGTAACCAGGAAGGCCTTCTCACAGATTTGTCTTGTGTACCAATTGCACCTGTTCCCAGATTGGGAAGCTCTTCTCATAGTCACTCATGCCTTGGTTAGCGCAGTTGCAAGCCTGCTCTTCTTTAAATGTGGCTTGAAAACATAGCTCTTTTCCCAGGCTTTGGGCTAGGGCAGTTCATAGACTCCCTTTGTGGGATGTTTATTTATTTATTTATTTATTTATTTATTAGTCACATTTATATAGCCGCCCATCTCACACAAAGTAACTCTGGGCTGTTCTTATGTCTGCTCTGCTTGGATGACCATCTTCCTTTTCTGTTGTCTGATATTTTCCTACTTCTTTGGTTTTCAATTTGTACGCTGTCCATCATTGAGAAATTGGGCAGCTTTAGAATTGTGAATTACAAAGACAGACATTATAAATAAATTCTCTATAGGGATGCAAAACATGGGTGTACGGAAGGCTGTGTCTCTAAAGGAAATTTTATTCTAAAAATAATGTAATGTTGTAAGTGTAGTTTATAAAATTTAAATATATATATAAAAAGAAAAGAAAACATCTGTGATAACTGCAGGATATTTGCTAAAATGTTTGCTGTAGACATCATTTAGAATACTGTAATTTTTTTTTCTTAATGCCTTATAGCAGAGGAGAAGGCTGGAGTCACTGGAAGTTCTCCCCCACTAATTGTGCATATGTTGCTCTGGGATCTTTTTGGCTGAAAGTTGGGATAAAATTGCTTTAAATAATAAAGGGAATGCTTTCTTCTCTATGTAAGGCATAAAAAGGTCTCATTTTGGGGTTCACTGGAACTCAGCCAAGGATATATTGCAATATTTTGCAGCAACTCCCATTTCTAGGTTTTTCTTAACCAGAAATCATACTCTTTTTTTGTGGGGGTGGGATTTTAAAATGTTTTGTAAAAGATGATTTGGGATTTCCAAGTAGCCTGGATCTTTTTGCCTGCGATGCTATGTCTCACAAATGTGCAGTGATTACTTGCTTGCCTATATAGAAAAGGCATACCATTATTTGTAGATAGAAAAGTTATTATTTTTATCCTGGAGTGTAATGTAACTACTTTGAGATTAATTGTGTTTTGTTTTCTGCTACAAGGTAATATGTTTCCTTCAAGAAAAAACACTCCATTGTCTAGTATAGAAAGAGTAGCCATCAGTAACCTGTAAGCTCTATTAGAACAAGTGCTTAAAAATGGACATCTAATGGTTCTTTTCCTGGGATTTGTCTTTTAGTAACACATCAAACTTAAGAGATGGCAGTAATGGAAATAGCTTGCCAGGACGATACAGAACCAGCCACTGGATCTCCAAAGGATCTTCTAATGGGCAAAGGGCCAGAAGAGGTAGCGACTGAAAAGAAAAGCAGCGTTTGCAAAGTAGAGGAACCAGATAAAAAGATGTTCCATGGACCGTGGAAGATCCTGAATGATGTGATTGCTAAAGGAACTGCCAAGGAAGACAGCGGAGAAGGGAGCTTAGCCTCAATCTCCATCATTGCCCAGGCAGAATGTAAGTGGGAAATGACATACAAATGAAAGAGGGAAGAGCTGACATGGGGGGGGGGGGGATGGTATATATGGGTCGTGGGAGGCAAG